CTTTTTTGAACAAATATAACTATCATTTATGTTATCCGGATCTCTCTTCATTCAAAAGAGAGACCCGGATCATACAAATTTTAATCGGTTAAAAAATTGAAAAACATCTATAAAAGCGCTCAGTTTCTGGAAAAAGTCCTCGAAGTCTTGTGTGATTTAAAGAAATTTCTTTAAAATTGGGTAGGCAAATGTCTTCGTACCTCTGTAGCTTTGCTGGTCCGAGGAGACAAATTTTTTATCTATGACGTATCTGTGATTACGTTATCTATCTGTACTATTGTTGTATGAAGAAATTTCTATTAGTTATTCTTATATGAATTAATAATGAATAATAAACAACTACACGTAGCATTATCTAATTAGCAAAAGCCTTTCAAATCAAAAATAATGTTTTTGCATAAATTTTGTCAAAAGATCATGGGTGTTTTTGATAATGCAATATGCGTTCGCATTTCTAACTTAAAACTTAAATAACTTAAACAACAGAAAAACGCAGCTGCAAAAACTACAAATTTGACAATAGCGTAATAAAAGTTTTTTTAATTGTGAAAATTCGGAGATCGTCATGTGTTTTCTAATGTTTCAGAAATGACATAAATTTAATAATTAAATTAAATAATTTATTATTTCCAAAGTAATAACCTAAATTTAAACGAAACTTGCTCTAATAAATCCTCACACACTTTTTTGGCAGTACGTGCAGTACTTAATTGCCAAAATTACTACACATTTAGTACTGAATTTTTAAATTTTATATTTAAACTTACAAAAGATTTTAATTAAAATTAAACATTTGGCGACCACAAAATCTCAATCAAACAATTTAAACCGATTAAACAATCAAATACAAATTACGATTTAATATGAATATTTTTGTTACAATTATAATTTGAAGAGAATTTCTGTTTTAAAGCTAATATTTTAAATTATTTCTGAATTATCAATCTAAATTTTGAGAATTATTTTTTAAGTTTCTCTCTCATTTCAAAAATTCAGAAATTCAAATTCCATACTATGAACTAGTTCCTCTATAGCTCCTTTACTAAAAAATTTTCTCAATAATAATTTATTTTCATACTTTTTAAAAGAATTTTCCCTGGACAATCTTATACACAGTTTGGTAATAATGTACATATATAGAATTATTAAATAAAAATTTTAATAATTTGATAGCAGAAATATTTGTAATAATCAAAAATTTAATATAATTTGCAAAAAAGAAATAATAGGAAGATAAACGATTTATTAAATCTATAATCTGTTATGTATATGTACATTGATACCAATAATTACATAAAAATTAATTTGGAACAATATTGTGCATAAAATAATGCTAAAGGATATAATTCATGTTATTTTATTAAATTCCACAGCAGTAATAATAAGAATTTTGAAGAAATTCCTAAATAATTGAAAAATGTAAAAGAATTCAAATTTTATTTAAAGAATTCAGAGATTAATAATAAGTAATAATGTGCTACTAAATATTTCAATTTTACATTATAGCCTCACACATATATAATTTACTCGTAATACACATCTACATATTATATACAATGATCATAGTATACGAGTATAATTACTCAAATTTCCCAAAAACCAAATATTTTGACTGTCAAAAATCAGGATTCAAAATTTATTGAGAAAAAATCTACCCAACTTAATATTACATACAGTGTATGTTTTTGGGACACTCCAAATATTCGATAATTTCGAAAATATTGGCATGAGTACACACCTACGTATTTTATTATTATAAAGTTAAAAAAACATTAATTATTAATTTTCTTTATATTCAAAGTTTATAATTAATTAAAAATCTATTTTTCTTTTAAATATGCAAAACATCATAAATTTTCCAATATATTCAAAATTTATTTTGATAATATGAAAATTATAATAATACTAAATTTGAACCTTTGGCTCGAGCAGCGAAATTAAAAGAGCTTACAAAATGATTTGAAATTTTAAGTTTAGTACGGTGTCGAAAAAAAAAAAACCGATTTTAACAAATGTATAAAATATTAAGAAAGTTACATGAAGCTTGCAATAGACGTCGCTGTTGGTTTTGACATTTTATATTTTCATTATTTTGTAGTGATTTTGATACTTAGTTCCATAGCCAACTGATTTTTGATGTTATACTAAGAGATGTTATAGTACAATTAATCACCTTCCTCTCCTATGACAAATATCTTAATCTTAGTTTTTTTCGTTTTTATTTCGTAAAAATAGTTGTACAATACTGAATTTAATTTTGACATTTATCTCCGTGTCTCTAGACTTAGTCTGATCATAACAAATCATACGTAATTCAGATAATTACAACATTAGAACCGGATTTATATGGTAATTTTGTATTAAAACTTTATCAATTGCTAGTTCACTCAAATTTTTTAATTTTCAATGAAATTTTATAATTATAACATTTTTTAACATACAAATCAAAATGCAACATTAATATGCTTTACTATTGTAATGAAACAAGTATTTTCATATTATTAAAAATTCAATGACTTTAAAGTTGAAGTCTAAATGCCTACCCCTTCTCCTATTTGTTCATAACAATTTTGGTTTAGAATTAAATTTAATGGTGACATAAAATTTTATGTTCTATATTTTTTGTAAATATACGGTAAATAAGAGCAGTACACTTCAAATTGTTATGCATGTGTCATGCTTTGTCAGAATATAGCTGTTGTAATATTATATGGTTTTGTTTTTTTTATACCCTGCACTTCGTGAAGGGTATATTAACTTTGGTATGGAGTTTGTAACTACTTGAAGGAGTCATCTGCGGTATGGACATATATATATATTCTTGCTCAGCGTAAAATTCTGCGTCGATTTAGACATGTCCGTCTGTCCGTCCGTCCGTCCGTCCGTCCGTCCGTCCGTCCGTTCGCACGATAACTCAAAAACGAATAATGCAATCGACACCAAACTTTCACAAGTGTTTTCTTTTGTGCCAAGGACGAGCCCTATTGTTATTGGACTAATTCGGACAACGGGTTCGGGTAGCTGCCATACAACTCAAAGAGTTTATTTTGAATATTTCAAAAACTAATAAAGCTGTAAATATAAAACTTTGTACACATGTGTCCAATTATATTCTACACATGCTCTAAAAATTATAATGGGATAGTTGCACCGGTTCGGGTGGCTGCCATACAACTCCAACAGCAAATTTTTTATATTCGGCAAAATAATAAAGTCAGATTCATGAAACTTGGCAGTCATGTGTCCAATTATAGGTCAAATATACTTCTGAAGTTTTAGAGGAATTGCTTTACAGGTTCGGGTACCTGCCATACAACTCCAGAAGCTAATTTTAAATATTTGGAAAAATAATAAAGTCAGATTCATGAAACTTGGCAGTTGGATGTCCGATTATAGATCAGATATATTTGTGAAGTTTTAGAGGAATTGCTTGACAGGTTCGGGTACCTGCCATACAACTCCAGAAGCTAATTTTAAATATTTGGAGAAATAATAAAGTCAGATTGATGAAACTTGGCAGTTGTGTGTCCAATTATAGGTCAGACATATTTCTAAAGTTTTAATGGGATTGCTTGACAGGTTCGAGTAGCTCCCATACAAGTCTTAAAGCTTATTCTTAATATTTGGAAAAATAATAAAGTCAGATCCATGAAACTTGGCAGTTGTGTGTCCGATTATAGATCATATATATTTGTGAAGTTTTAGTGGAATTGCTTGACAGGTTCGGGGACTTGCCAAACAACTCCAAAAGCATATTTTAAATATTTGGAAAAATAATAAAGTCAGATTCATGATACTTGGCAGTTGTGTGTCCGATTGTAGATCAGATATATTTGTGAAATTTTGATGGAATTGTTTGACAGGTTCAGGTACTTGCCATACAACTCCAAAAGCTAATTTTAAATATTTGGAAAAATTATAAAGTCAGATTTATGAAACTTGGCAGTCGGATGTCCAATTATAGGTCAGACATATCCGTGAAGTTTCTATAGAATGACTTCACAGGTTCGAGTAATTGCTACACAATAACGAAAGGTGCAGGGTATTATTCAATCGGTTTATACCGACTGAAACGTTTTTACTTGTTAAACACTGTATTGAATTATAGAACGTATTTGTTGTTATGATGGCTTGTCTTTTCAGTATGACATTGATAACAATTTTGATTTAAAAATGACAAAAAACAACCTAACAGGTTTTTTTTTGCAACATTTTGAAATTTACATAAGAATTATTTTGTATTCGTTTTATAGACATGTACATGAGTTATATTTGTTTAACATGCATACATACTGCAAGAGTACTTATTGTATTATATGTATACATGTGATATTATTGATTCACCTACATAGATATACAGTAATTATTATAATTTTATTGTATTAAAAATTGTTATATGATATCTCGCTTCCATGTAGTCAGAAATCACACAAAATTAAAATCATCAAAATAAAGTGCTCAAAATGAAACCAAATTGAATGAAAACTTCCAAAGAAAATTCATATTTGCTTTTCTACATTAGAATGTACATACAATACATAATATGTAAGTTTTTATTTTTAGTTACCATTAGATTCTAGCAACGAAAATGTAATTTGCTGAAACACATGAAAATATTTTGGAAAAAAATATCAACTTGCGTTGATAACCTTTGTTACATAGAAAACAGTCAGCTGATTACGAATCTGAATATCCAAAAACGAAACCATTTAATATTACAATTTTAATTCTTACAAAGCATACTGAAATACATTAAAATTTAGCTTGGTGTAGCGCAGCTTTCGAACACCCACTTTAAAAATATTACACATAAAATACTTCAATTTTAACTCCACAAATTCCCCCTTTGTTTTTATTATTATAGTAAATAATAGGTAACTGTAGTATTTTACCTGGTTTTTAATTCAAATAAATTAAACAAAAAGAAATACAGAAAGGAAAAGCAAAGAACTAAAATTCAAAATTTAAAATAGAAACAAAGACATGAAAATTTTACTTACCTTGTAACTCTTCCCATTTTCAATGCATTCATTTCCACTAATACCAGCTTCAGCAGCTGCTACTGTATGTCTTGCTAAAACATCGTTACTATTATTGTTATTATTATCGTCTGCTGTTGTTGTGTTAATATTTTTTAAATGATTAACTATTTCAACATCATCATCATCCATACTAACATCACTTATATCTTTCATCATTTTATCTCTATTATTTTCAATTGAATAATGAGCTGATTTTTCAGTTGTCACAAAATTTATATGTGGATGATATGGATCCTCTTCGGCTAATGTATCAGAAGCATCTGGTGCTGATCTACCTTCACCATGAAATACTTCATGTTCACCATCTTCAATCATCATATTCATAGTATCTTGTTGATTATCATTATTTTGATTTTCATTATTAATATGATGAAGAATATGATGATGTTGATGTTCATTTTCGTGTTCGTGTTCATGTTTGTGTTCATGTTCATGTTGATTAGTTTCAGTAGATGAAGAAATTTCTGTTAAATTAAGTGCACGTCCTCTCATTTCAGATGTTATAAGAACAACGGATGGAACAATTGTTTCTGATGGTATTGGTGTTGTTGTCATTGATGATGACGACGATGATGATGAGCTAATTAATGTTGTTTGTGTTTCTGGTTTTATTGTTGTATCTACCACTTCCGAAATCGGTATACTACCAACAATAAACACTGGTGATGAACTAGATGACGATGATACTATTACAGAAGATTCAGTAGATGAAATTTGAGATTGTGATTCTGTGGTAGAAGAGGATGGTGATGACAATGATGAAGATGATGATTCGGATTCTAATACAGATTCTGATGTTGTTGATAAATTTGATTCTTTTGCTTTGATTTCGTTAGCGATGATTTCTGACGATGGTGACAAATCACTCATTTCTGGCATTATAGTGGTTTCTCCAGCCATTAACATTTCAGTTGATAAATTATTAGTTGGATTTTCATCTGTTGCGGAAGACTTTAATGAAGTCATCGAATCTACTGTTTTTTTGTTTTCTTCAGACACTGAACCAATTATAACTGGTATATGAGTAATTCCCATTTCTTCATTTTCCATTGGTTTTACCGTTGTTTCTTCCTCTGTATTCATTTTTAAATCAGTTGATGTTGGTACATCATTATTACTAATCTCATTAGTTGATTTTATTTGTTCAACGTTATCTGTTGTATTAAGAGGTATGGATTTTTCTGGTATCATCGTTGTTGATATGAAAAATATAGGTGAATCTTTTAATTCATTTTCATCATTAGAAGATATTTTCATAGAAGATGAAGATGTTGCTGGTGTTGTTGTTAATGTTTCACCTGTTGATGAACTAAATAATTGTTTAATATCTGGTTCTGATGTTGTACTTGTCGTTGTCGAAGGTGTTAAAGAAGGATTTGCTGTTAAATTCTCATTATCACCATTAATCACATTGCTAGATGAATTCATATTATTTGCTAAATAGCTCTTTTGGAATGCTGTTGTGAAATCCCAAAAATTGTTTACTGTACCAGGTGGTGATAATGAACTGGATGATGTTTCATTTTCCTCCAAATTTATTGAATCTTTTGTTGGCGTTGGATCTTTTAATGGTAATACAGATAATTTATTATCTGATAATGGCAGTGAAGGTGAAGACGTTGTTGTACTTGTTGTTTGTGAAGATTCTATACTTGAGGATGAATTTAATTCATTTGTTATTGTTGATGATAATACTGATGAGGAGGATGACGTTTGCCAGTATGGATCCGATAAATCTGGCAGTAATGTTGAATCTGTAAGAGTAAAAATGAAATTATTGAAATAAATATTGTTGTAAGAAATGAAAAAAAAAAGATTAAAAAATAATTTTATGAAGGTAAAATTTAGATTAGAAATGGTTTCAGTTTTTTAGTCTAGACATCTAAAAACTTCAAGACTGATGGCTTTATTTTAGCCAAAACTAAATGAAATATTTGAATTTACGCATTTTATTTTTGATTTGTTGTAAAATGTACCATTAAAACTGGACAGTATTGATGATATTTCTATAAATAGCACAATGACATTCTTAAAATTTATATTAAATACTACATTATATTTCATATTAGATCAAATTACTAGAACTGTAAATGTCACAATCTTCCGAACTATTCAATTCTTAATTAAACAAAAAACTTGAACCTTTAAAATGCATTCATAAATGTTTTACAAAAGAGTACTGTCAAAATTATCTATGGGAAAATCACGATTTTAAACCGTTATTTTTAAGAAAAAAATATCAAAAATAATAATTTGAGAAAGAAAAACAATTTTTATTTTTTTTAAATTTGTTCTTTAACTTTAACATCACGACAGAAATCATATTTCCAGCTCTCTATAAAATTTGCTTTTATACGTTCATAAATTCGATTTGATTTTCTAAAGCAACTTTCTGATAACATACACAATGGGTGATTATAAGTCGTGCGTTATATTTTAATTCTTTTCTTTAAAACTAAAATCAATCATTTAATGTTTTTCTTTTTAAATCATAAAAAATGTTGTCATTATTAGACGTGCCTCTTAAATTACTATTCAATTACTAACAATAGCAATTCATATTTTGATAAAATAATTAATGAGTTTTAAAGGTGAATGGCATATTAAAAAATAATTATGCAATTTACGAAAATTGTATAAGATCTTATTGCCATTAAATAGCATACAAGTTCAAATTGCCGTACAAGTTACCAGTCATTTGATTTATGACAATTTCCTGTGGTAATTTTTTAATCACATAAAAGTGTTAAATGAGAAAAATATACTTTTAGTTATTCATACCAATAAGGATACTGTTCACACTTTGGAAGGTTTCAGATATTCATTTTTGGATGGCTACTATTATATGGCAATCCTCAAAAAAAAATATTTCAATGTAAAATGAGAATGTAATTATTTTCTTCAAATAAACAATTTCTTTCACTCCAAGGCAACTTAAGTACGAAATTTGTTGTTTTTGTTTTTTCATGAATATTTCAAACTACTACAATTTACCTAAAAACCTTTCAGTTCGGAAATTATTAACTAAAATATCAGAAAAGGACCTATACGTAAGAAATTAAGCAAATATTATAGTTTCTTTGAACATCTATAACATTAAATTCATGGAGTTTTAAATTACATGTTGCAAAAAGCAATCTGAATGGTGCCAAAAGAAATCTTGCGATTCGTAATATGGAAGTATGTAAAAATTACTTGAAAGATTCGATTATACTTAAATATGAAACATATTAAGGAGTAATTTTAAGATCTGACCTAAATATGTAAGGATATAATCATATGTGATACAAATATATACTCGGGCAAGCTTTATAAATTTTATCGGCCTACTATTCCAAAAGTCATCTTTATGTATATAATGCTTAAAAATTACTTATTTAAAAGCCCCTAACTCACTTTCGACTTCAGTTGTAATTTTTCTCTTAATCTCCCGTACTTAATTTCCTCTCCTTCAAAATAGTATGTTGTAAAGTACAACAGACAAACTCGTTGCTTATATAAGTTTTTACTATTTCTTTTCAATTATAACATACCGGCATTATTTTTTATTTTATTTACCGCTTAGTAAAACACGTGTAATTCTATACCTAGTAACAACAAAAAAAATTCTACTCAAGCCCTTAAAAAGACACGTAATTGCTCTTAGGAACTATTAATGAAAATTGTTTGTACACCTATTTATTCATGTTATATGTAATTTCTTTATTAATTTTAACCACATTATAGCTAAACCACGTCATATAGTCATAAAATACTTAAAATCATAAAATTTAACGGTAAAATATAGCAATTAGAAATTATACCAGTTATATAATTATATTTAATGGTCAAATAAATGATTAAGTCTTATTTGTATTATATACCAGATAATTAGATACTTTTTAAATTACATACATAATTAGATAGCGTGTTTAAAAAAAATATTTAATAATTTTTAAATATAAAATACTTCCGTAGAGAAAACACCAATTACTTCAGAAAGTTTTAATATCTTCAATTATTAGATTAACTCTTTTTAATAATAAGACGTTAAGTACTATATATGTGTATTATAACCAAAATAGCTATTATGTATCTACTTATGCTTTCCTATACAGTTAATTTTCAATAATCTTTTTCTATTTAAAACCAATCACAGTGAAAATACAAAGAGAACTAGAGGAATAAAATTTGAAAGTAAAATTTTGTTCATAAATTCAATAGTAACTTTCATAGTCTCATATAATTAAAAAGTAATTTTATTTTTACTTCTATAAATTGCCACTAATTTACTAATTCTGAACGCCATTTACAATAACTGTATTTTAAAGAAAATAAAAAAAATGCTCATAGTAAGTAGAACTGCAAAACAAACAAAAAAGTGTTATATTTACTCTTTTTTTTAGAAGAAATTACTCATCTCAATTCAAGTATTACGATTACAATAAAAAAAATTGAGATTTTTATTTTGAATTTCCGTATTAAATAACAATTTGTCCCGGTTAGAATTCCATTTTTTACTAATACGAGTAGTTAAATTTTATATTCTTAAAATTGAAGGAAGAACAAAACCACTACTAAAATATTTAAAAATTCCAGTTAAATGGTTAAATTTTAATAGTTTCTATAATAACTATTTTAGTAACGCCAATATATTACTATGTGTGTACATATAACTGACCACAATTTAATCACAAAATAGGAAATAATAGTAATAATTACTTAAGAAATGTAAAAGAAAAAAAGTAAAAAGAATCAGAGTTAAATTTTTTATGTGCATATATGATTAACGGTATAAGGCGAAATTGTTGCTGCTTTAAGTTTAATAAAAACTTTTCATTATGTTTATATTCGAAATAAAAATATAACTAAGAGCTATAAAATATAACTAAAAATAAGGGGTTATTTTATTTGAATTATAAGTTGCTTTATTAGTTTTCAATTAAACTTCTTTTAAAACAGTGATTGCCAAATATATTATAAATTATTTATTATGAGCCTTTATCTCTTATAATACAATAGCTCTAAAATATTTAAATACTGACTTAGTATTGAGCACCATGTAAATTAATGCGAATAAATTGATATTATCTAACATAGAATTTTTGATAAACTTTCGAAATCTTGTTACAATGTTGTTAAATCATGTAAGTTAGCAAAAATTTTCTTCAGATTCATCAAATAGAAGCTGTACGACTTTGTCAAAATTGTAAAAAATTAAATGTCTATAATAATCTCATAATATTTTTTTTTAACAAATTTGTATTGTTTTATATTTAAGAACTTAAAAGTTTTGATGCTATGTATTATTTAATTCCATTGCTTAAGAAATGGAATTAAAGAAAATTTTTTGTTTTAATTTATTTTAATTTAAAATTTTCTATTTACAACTAAAATAACACATACATATGTATTTAAAAAATTATGGATATCCGATTTGACAGATATTTCAGTGTCAATCAACGTCACAGACACAACATCAAATAAATTCTGAAAGTAACACTCTTGTCAAATTTTCTGTTGATATTTCAGAAAATGATACAATGTGTCTGATACGTCGTAAATACACTTCCGAAGAATAACGCTGAATAGCAATTTATTATCATGTGATAGAATAATATGATTTTGCAATTTTAAAATAATTGAATTTTATAGAATTAAAAAGCTAAGGGAGTTTTATAGTATAAAAAATTTCATTTACTAAATTCTAAAATTTTTTATATTTTATATCAATATTGAAATCTTTTTAACTCCAGAAGCATATGAAGCATATGAGACTATTTTAAAACTTTGAACTAAAATTCCGACTCTTGTAAAATTTTCCAAATAATTATTTAATATTATATAATTGTTCGCTTTTTTTAACTAGTATACTGAACGCTAACAACAAAGATGTAGAAATTTTAAAACTCTTACCTATTTCAGTAATACTAAAATATTCGAAAACAAAATCAAATTTTCATTGTTTAATTTGGCAACAACTATAAAACTGTTGGAAATTTTAATAGTTATTTAGGTTTTCTTGGAAAACGATTGCACATATTTCCAAAATTTATTTGAAACATTTCTGTATTTCTTCTTGTTCTTTAAGTTTTAAATTACAGTTTCCACCCTTTTTAATTCTAAAATTAAATTTAAATATTTTTTATTCTCCATTAAGTTAAAAATGTTGATAATCACCGTTTTTCTAATATAATGAACTCTATTGGTGATTTGATAAAACTTAATATACGTTACGTACCTTAACGTGTTATCATTAATTTCTTCTTAAATGGATAGCATAAAGAAACATGTACAATTCTATATATACATACATCTATATATTTTTTTTTATTTCACCTATACATATATCAATTTTGAGCACCTATTGTTGTAACTCAAATATTCTACACAGTAGCTTTTAGTTCTCTCTCCCTCTCTGCTTAGCACTTGCGTTTTTTTTCCTTAAATTATTATGTTTTTCTTTTTTTTATGTTTTATTTTCGTTCTCACTCACACTTCACTTAATTTATTCTTCCGTCCGTTTTATCATTCTGCTATATATATTTTTATACATGTATATGATATACACCGTACCGGATATTCACTTGATTGTTAAATTATTCAATCCATCCATAGAATTTTAGATTTGTTTTGACTTGAGGTTTTTTTATTTCTTGAATTTCTTATGAATTACGAAATATACGAATAGTTTTACGGAAATAAATTTTTTTCCTTTTATGATTTATTCGAGCAACTTAATTTTTGAAGAAGCGATAATGAACATTTTTCTTTA